GCTCGTTGTCGCGCTTCCTGGCGGCCAGCGTAGTTGCCCGCGGGGTGCGCTGAGACTGGCAGTCTCCTGCTCGGCGTCGCCCGGTACCGCGCGCTCTAGCAGAGTGTGTTCTGGTTCGCGATGGAGGGAGCCGTGCTGTCAGCTGCGTTTAGGCGTCAGGAGCAAACGGTGCCGCTGTGGCGCCCATTCTAACTGAAGTGTGTGATTGCCCTCCTTGCGGTTTCATGGTGCATTGCCCAAGTTCCCGAAAGGTGCTTTTCAGAGCGACACCACCCCTCGGGCCAAGCCAGCAATCATGGCAGACGATCCGCCAGTGCCCAGTTAAATTGACAACGTCATGCAGGGCAGACAGCCGAAGTCTGTGCCCCGGCAGTGTTTCCATATTTGTGAATTCAGGCATGGCCGGCCACCTGTTGTATGCCACTGTGAAACACTGTTTTGATGGGAAGTTGTATTGCTAAGATTTCTGCGTTTTGTTTTCCATTTAAGATACCATGAATAATGCTATAGTGTAGTCGATAATAACTGTTTTATGGTCCCTTAAAGCGACGCATTTCCTGCTTGTACAAAACATGAAAACTAATTGGCGTTCATAAGAAACATGTGAGTAACAACAGTGAATGCTAAACCAATGTAGAGGAAGGGTTCTTGCTACTGAACGCCAGCTAAAGTTCCTTAGGAAAGGCTCATCTCCACTAGAACACGAAATCATCTCATGAAATTACTTTAATGGAAGAATGTGTCAGTTGGTGGCCAAGAAGTGTAAGCGCCTGAGCAGAGCAAGCATTCCTAGAAGGTCGGATAGTGCTTCGAGTAATCACTAGCCTTGAATTATATGCTTTGTGAGAAATAGGCACTCATACATTTTCTTTGGCTGTAATTTTTCTCCCCTCCCTAGAACATGATGTAATCAGTTTCTAATGTGATTCCCATCTACTAGAAAATACCAAGAGAAATTGGGCGGTGGGAGGGGGGGGGTTGAGGTGACACACTCTGTGGTCTAATAAGCAAGTTATTAATTAGCCCACCTAGGCTTTTTAATTCCATACTTAGACACTGAGTTCTTAAAAATGGACAACAAAAGATATTTGCCTAAAAAAAAAAATCCCAAAGCATGAGAATTCGAATTTGCAGTTCTAAGTTTTGTTGGTAGGTGGATGTTACGTTCAAGGTCCTAGAATCCAAGTAGCCCAGCTTTAACCCTGCAATGAACCTAAGTCCTAGAACAAAGTCATACAGATGACCCATTTGTTAATATGCTTATTCACTAGGGTGCTAGTTTTCCTCTGTTTATGTGTAGATTAGCATTGCATTGATAATTTATCGAGTGTTGATATATACTAGCTCATATTGGCAACCTGATATATGAGATTTGGTCCTTATGATAGATGGTTATTTTAAATGAATTGCTATTGTGAATTAAGTGAAGGGATTTACCTTTCAGATCATCAACTCTGCATTCAACAGTTCAAACCACTCATCGGCCTCACTCCATGTTCTATCCCACTCCTTCCTCCCCTGATTTCTTTCTCTCACGGACCACCATCTTCCCTTTCAGCCCAGTTCATACCAGTCAACCTTCTCATCCATTGCTTAATCTTTCTGCCTTGCTATGCCTCCTTAGGGAACCTCCCAAGTCTGCTCTCTTTGGTACGTAAGTGCTTGTCTTAGTTTTTATGCCTATAGAAGTAGTCTCATACAATATTTGTCTTTTTAAATTGACTAATTTACTCAGCATAATGTTCTCCAGGCCCATCCATGCCTTCAGGTGTTTTGTGGTTTTATCGTTGTTTTTTAGCAATGCATAATATTCCAGTGGGCGTATTACCAAAGTTTCTTCATCCATTCTTCTACTCAGGGGCATTTGGGCTGTTTGCGACTTCTTGCCATTGAGAACAGTGCTACGATGAACGTGAGAGCATATGTCTGTCAGTGTTGTGACTCTTACTTCATTAGGGTACATGCCCACCGATCCAATGGGATTGCTACTCCCAGCTGTTTGGGTGAATGCTATATCACTTTCAACAAAGATCATATACTTAATATATATATATTTTAAAAATACATGTGTACTTAGTAGAAATGTATTTTTAAAATACATCTCACTGCCCTGTCATACACTGCAAACCTCGTTTTCTTTGGTCTTTTTATATGT